GAAAAATGCTAGTTACATTACTCACAAATTATTATCATGGAAAGTACAGTATTTTTATGAATTTCTTGTAAAAAAAAGAAACAAGGTGGATTTTAATTCCACTTAATGGGGAGGTGAAAGAGCATGTAATTACCTTTCTAGCTTCCAGTTGAAAAGTTGCATTTTGGTATACGGTGACACACTTTTTTTTTTTTTTTTAGACTTTCCTTTACAAACATCTTCCTAAGTTTCACTGAGGCTTGGTCATACTTCTGACATAGGATGTGACTCCAGCTTCAGATTCTGTAAAACCTTTTTTTTTTTTTTTCTTTTTGGTTTAGAATTCCAGAAGTTCAGAGTTTCCCTGGCAATTGTTAATGCCAGGGTTCCTGTCAGGAAAATAGTTTCCTTATTTTGATGATTTCTGATAGAATTTGAATTCCTTCAGGTCTAATTATTTCATAAGCCCATTAAAAATTCTTATTTTTAATCAGTTCCCTATTTGTGCACCGCTTGTTGTAATTTTGTGGGGGTTTCTGTAAAGCCTGTGCTGTGAAACTCTGGCATTAAGTGTGGCACATGCCTCTAGACTCTGCTTTTGCCTTTCCGTGAGACCTGTGTATACTCAGACACACATACTGGGGTCACTGTATGCAAGTAACCACGCTGGTGATTATGGCAGCCCACTCAAACCCAAGGAGACTTGAAGATGTTGATGATCATTCAGTTTTTCTCAGAATGAGGGAGAAAACGTAACGGTAACTGTGCAAGCTAAGTGACATCCTATTTTTTTTGTATCTTTCTTTTCCCTGCCTGTCTCCCTCTCCAGTAACTTCTGAAAGCCATGTCCAATTAACAGCAATCTGAAGCATGAGCAGGCAGAAACCTGTTTGTGGTGTTGGAGAGGGGCGGATACTGGTTTCCCTGGTACCTAATTAGAAAGCTAAGCGATTTCAGTCGGCCCTAAGTCGGGCTGCTGGCCGAGGAGCGTGAATTTCCTCTACCAAAACAACAGTTCTGTCGCAGTTTGATTGCTGGGCTAACAGTTTTGTATGTCCATAGGGTGACTGTTGTTCTCTCTCTGTGAAATCCCGGGAGAAACCCCCTCTGGAGTTGAGGTGCTAGGGAGTGGTGGTTCCAGGGTGGCTGGGGTTGAGGGAGTGCATTTGCAGAGTCCGGCCAAGGCGGGTTCGCTGGAGGATGGCACATGCGCTGCTGCGAGAGCACGGAGTAAGTTAAGTAGCTCCTGGAGTGTGTTGCAGCCAAAAGAAATAACAAAGTGTGCAAGCCTCTAATTTTATGCTGGCACTTAACAAAAAATAAGCCATATTCTGAATTACATCATTCATCTGTGTTAAATGCTTTAGAAGCCAGTCTAGAGTTTACACAGGCAGTAACAGTGCCACAGCACAGTGTTCGTGGCAGTGATACAGTGATTTCAGCTGAAAGCCAGTTCAGAGCTTACTCTTGGATTTCTCAAGCCTTTGCAGTTGACTGTGTAGTTGTGCACAGGCAATGGAGGGGTTATAAAAAGAGAGCCAGCTGATGTTGCAATCTAAGCACTGGCCATACAGTGGAAAGACTCTCCTTTGGCATGTTCACTAGTGCTATTTTTACCTATTCCAGTAAGATCTGCCCTTGTGATGTTAAATTACAGGACAGTACCTGGAATTATTTTGTGTCACAGAAGTGCCGTAATGCTCTGAAGAAAATTTGCGCTAAAACTTTCAGGCAGATTGAGCCCACAATTGTCTTAACATTAAAAATACCTTTTCTTCTGTCACCACAAGTAATGCTGCTGCTCTAGCTCTAAGAGATTCTTACGCTCTTGCTTGCGTATTTTCTGTCTGGCAGAGGGTGTTTTTAAATTTTAGTTTCCTTTATATGTAGGGTATTTTATCTTAGGTTTTCACGTGGAGACTTTAAATAGACAGTGTGATTTTTAAAGGCAGGGAATTAACAACGTAGCTGAGGGGTAAGCATAGTAGGAGGTTTTTGTCAGAGCTTCTAAAGAAGCTCTTTTTGATTAAATTTTAAGTTGGTGGTTCCTTCATACAATAGAAACTGAATTTTCTTTTTCTTTTTTTTTTTTTCTGGGGATAGGTTTTCAGCACTGCCAGTGACAAAGTGCTGCATCTGCCAGACGGATTGTAGTGAAAACTTGGGGAAACAGCAAGAATGGGGTAACAGCGTAACACTGGGGTTCAGTTGTAGAAGTATCACGTAGAGGATTTCACATACGCAGATGCGTGGCCGTCTGAACCACAGTGCTGAGATGTCTAGTACTTGTGACTACCTGCTCTTAGACAGAATATTGTTCATGTGTCTTCTCTGAAACTGTCACCATCTAGTTCAAAAGTGCCTTGACAACACTGAAACACAGTCCTGCCATTTTAAATTTCTGTTTGTTTCCAACTCCTGTTCTGGCTATTTGTGCAAGTTGGGGTGTGTTTGTAGCAGAATTTTTGATTTTTCTAAAGCAGTGGTTTGACACTGGAGCATGATCGGTGATCAGCTGGTGCGAGCTCAGTGTTCCCCTAATGGAACACCTGCTTCCCATGCTCCTTCTCATGCACTGTGGAGTATCTCAGGTGGAAATCCTGCAAGTAGGCAAACTTCCTCCGGTAGAGAGTCATTTTCTTCTCCCTTGGCTTCGCCATTGTCTTAAGTGAACAATTCTACTTCTCAGGTTTAATTGAATCTCACATCTGCAGTAACAGCTGGTGTATTTTTGTCAACTCTTTTGCTTCTTGAACCCTCGCTGTTGCCCGTTCTGTTAGCAAATGTTCTTTCTTACTGATTTTGGGGTTTTATGTATCTCTTGACTGTCAAGAAAAATAGGTGATTTTTACTCCCTTACAGCTATTACTTTTGGTTGCAGGTAGGATTACTGTACCTGCTGCTGCTTTAACCCATCACACTTGTTTTACACTGTGCCTTCTCTTCCTGCCTTGTATGAGAGAGACATCTGGCCGATTGTACAGTAAAAACGCTTTGAGTTTTCAGTCTGTAAAACCTCTACCTCATCAGGGCTCTCTCCACTTTTTCGTCTAACACTACCTGTCATACTGTCTGGATTAATTTTCTCAGTTTGTCCCAGATTCTTTTCAGCTCAGTTTTTAGCTCTTGTTTTCCTCAGGAACTGATCTTTAGAAGTCTCTTGACCTTTTAGCTAAATGTGAGGATCGTAACTGTGTCCTTGTTTTTATCAATTTGCTAATTGTCAACCTAGCTACTTTTAAAAAACAACCCCCCAACACTTCCCCCTCACCCCCCCATGCCTATACTGGTTCCTATGAGGATGCTCTGGTCTTATGCTCATTCTTACAATTCATATGGTGGTTTTGATCTTCCATGTTTTTCCCTACTTTTGGCCCCCCCATACTTTCTGTTCACAGCACTTTCCACACCTCGTTCCTCAGCAATGTTATCAGTTAAAAAACACCAAACAGACACACACCATCTCCTCCCGTTTGATTCAGCGTGGATTATGTCCTAAATAGGTCATTATTGCTGACTTGGTTGTCTTCTGTTAGCACTGAAGATCTCAGCTTTTCCTCTGGTGTGTGAAAGACTATCCCTTCCTCCCTTCTCCCCACTCACCTTTTTCCATGGTGCAAACCACAGTCACCACGTTCTGGGTGTCGCATTCCGAAACGTTTGCTGCAGGGAGGTATAGCCAGCAGGGTAAGTGTGAAGTTCAGGCCGTAGCTTAGGTTTTCCTTTTAAAATTGCTGAGTGGCTCAAGGTGGAGATCCCAGAGCGTTCTTCTGCTTTCTTGTTAGTCTTTGGGAGTTCACTGTCTTGGGTAAAATCATTGCAGCTTTTTCTTCTTTGGTTGCTTTTTGTTTGGGTTCCCCTCCCCCACCCATCCAGGAGAGAGGATATGTTTAACCAAAAGTGAGCTGGGAACGTAAGATGTCGTCTTGAATTTTTTTGTGTACTTTCTTGTATTTCATATAAAGAAAAATGTGAGGAAGTTGGCACTGGTGAGCCTGGAGAAGTGAAAACTTTGCAGGGGATCCTATCCATGTGTATAAATACGCTGATGGGAGGGAGTGAAGTGGACACCAGACCCTTCCCACTAGCGCCCAGTGACAGCACAGGGGCCAGTGAGCACAAATGAAAACACATGAATCTCCATCTGAACATAAGGAAACACCTCTTTTCCTGCGAGGGTGGTCAGGCACTGGAACAGGTTGCACAGAGAGGCAACGTGCAGAGGAGATGCTCAAACCCCAGCTGATGTGGCCCTGGGCAGGCTGCTGTGGCTGACCCTGCCTGAGCAGGGAGCTTAAACTAAATGATCTCAAGAGGTCCCTTCCAGCCTCGCTGACTCTGTGACTGTGTTGCATCTTTGGTTTCTCCAATCATCTCTGCGTGGGATTGTTTTAGGAACTGCTAATTAGGATGGGAACTTTGGGTAAGAAAGTAAATGGTAAAATGCTATCTAGTGAGTATTTTTGTTCTGAGTTAATCTGAACTTCCAGTTCTTTAATCAAGACTTCTTCAGCTTCCCTAGGGATTCTTCCTCTTACAGTTACTGCTTATATGCAGGATATGGATAGCCTTCAGAGGGGGAGCTGCTTACTACCTTTTTGGTTTTGTTTTGGAACCGAGATTTGTCATAACATTTGTGAGTCAGCAAGGTGTTTCTGGAGGAAACTGATGTCTGAGAAGGAAGCATGCCACTTGTGCTTAATTTTTCCTTTAGTGAGTTTTTAGCTGTAAAAGGCTTTTGTGAAGTTCTTGAATAAGAATGAGATGTTGAGCTGGGGTAGCATGCGGTTGTCAGGCCGTCTGGCTTTACATGGTGCGTCTCAACACTGAAATGTTGCACAAAATAATGGAAGGCTAGAAGGCCCTGAAAACTTGAACGGTAGAAGGATAATAAGTTAACTCCACAATTGATGCAATTCACAAAATAATCTTTTGGTTATTAATTTAGTATGTTGTGCATGTGTATAAGGTTATCTGTTAAAATAGTAAATATCTTCTGTTTTTGTGTTACCTTCCACAGATGATGTACTTCATCCTGTTGTCATAGGACTCTGTTGGCTTAAAGGAAAACTAAAGGTATAAATAACAACTTCTGGTTATCTTTCCCTTCCTCTTTACCCTGCCCCATTCTTCCTTCTGAGGTTCCTGGGGAAGGGTAACCACAACCGAGCTCTATGCTTGTATTCCTTCCCTGCTACTAGAATTTCCTCTTTGTTTTTTGAAAATTCACCAAAATTACTGTGATGCCTACAGTTGTTCCAGTGTTTGCTTTATCAGAAGTGTACGTTTAACTTAAGCTCTTACTTTAGTCCACCTCTGTGGATATTTACTTTGCAGGGGGAAAGCCCTTCCTCGGTGTAGAACTTTAGATCTTGATATTTGCCTTTCTTCTCCAGATAGCACTGGCCGCCTTTTTGGAGGCACTCAGGACAATACATGTTTGACATAATCTAATTACCTTGGCTTGCATACAGTCTGTAGTATCTAATTACATTCAGTTTTTATTTGCCATTTTATACAGGCTTCTTTGCAAATGCTGTTTCAGAGGAAACAAGTTGTTTGAGCTGGTAGCTTGTAAACTAAAATACTCAAATAGTATGGTGTTGGATTCAGTTCATATTGCAGAAACACATGTTCAACTGTTCCCGGGTGCACTTTATAATAAAATATAAAGGAGAATCACTTGTTTTATCTTCTCACAGGAGGATATCTCAAGGCCCCTTCCCAACCCTTCTTGGTGCTGTTGCCCCCGTTCCCCCACCCCCTGGTCTGTAAATTGTTTCCATGCCCAGGCCCTTAGGATTGCAGTAGTGGCCTCCCTAGTGGTGGCACTGCTGGTTCAGGCACAGAGCCCACATTTAATAAACCCCATTTATTCAACCACATTTATTAAAGCTGCCCTGAGTGAATGCAGAGAACACTTAACTCTTGAATGAGCTGGATCACGGCCTCCTGTTCTGTGTAACCGTGTGCCTCTGTGGAGAGTAAGTGTGGTATGTCCGAACTGTACGGTTAGCCGGCCTAACTGGCAGCTCCCAGCAGTTACTTGTGTAACCTAATCCCAGGTTGTGTTCCTTTTCAGCAAATCGGCGGTTGGTTTCAAGGCTGGTGTGTTCTCAGTTGCTTCATTTACGACGTGCAGCCGAGGGAGGGCAGGGCCAGTAATTCTTTGTGCTGGGGTTCTCAGTCACTTTTGTTTAGTCCTTGAGAACTTGTGTGGGAAGGGCATTCGGTGGATTGCTGACATTTGAGTAACTTTTTCATCCTTGCTGTAAAGTGGATGAGTTCCAGGCAGCTGTAAACACACTTTGGGGCTTTCATCCGTACTTGAAACAATTCAGGCATGAGCAAGTTCAGAATGCAGATAGGCACGTGTCTGAGAAGTATGTACAGTTGACTGAAGACTCGGGGAGGAAAATGCTTGGACAAGGTGTCTTGTGTGTGTCATGACAGTGCACGTGTAAATTCATACCCCACTTCTGCAATGCCAGGTCGGCTTTCAAGTTCTAAGTCTTTCTTTGGAGGATTCTCCTGTGAAGAACTTTACTGTTGTGGTGAAGAAAGAAGCAGTCTAAGTGCAACAAGAGTGTCGTAGTATGATTCTGATAGAGTCACGTATAAGACAGCAGTGTCCAGTATGCTTTTGTGTCTAGTAATGCCTTTGAGTTTACCGAATTAAAAAATGAGAATGTCTTTTATATCACTTCAGCTGTGACAGCCTTCAGAATGTTGAGAGAACACACATGAAACACCGACCTGACCGGATAAATCCGGTCAGGATTTATCAATTTTGATTTTAAGATAAAAATTATAAATTACTATACTAAAAAAAGTGGAGGTCTTACTCCATGGTGTAGGGTTCTGGTGCCTCCTTAGCAAAACTTGTACAAAATTTATGTGCAAACGTTGTGTACTTTCCTTGCTTGCCTTTTCCTTTCATGGCTGTTCTGATAGCAATTCTACAAACATTTTGGTGAGCCTGTATAAACTCAGCAGCAGTACTTCACTAAAATTTGAGAAAATTCTGTTTGAGAGCTTGGAAACACAGGCTGCATTTTTCTCTTCACCTGGGTTTGCTTTGGGAAAGGGACACGTTTGGATTCGGTGTCCCTTTGTGCTCTTCTAGCTACAAGCATTACCCGCTGCTCCTGTTTCTCTAATGCAGGGTCCAGACTTGGAAGGAAGCTTACAGAACGCCGCACTTGAACTTGATAGAAGTTTCGTGTGGGAAGAAATGGGTGACTGGACGGGAATGATCTGTGTGGAAAGGACAAACCAAACAGCTCTTCCTAAAAACTGGTCAGGAAAAGTAGCCAGGTGCTGCTCTGATCAACAGGGGAGAGCAGGCACAGAGTGGCTGAAGGTGCCAATAGTTTTGGTGGCCAATACTCCCTTCCCAGAGCCCAAAGTACAGCCTGCTGCAGCCAAGCGGTATGACTTGGTGTATTAACAAAAAAGTGTTAATCTTGCAACAGATTAATCAGTCTGAAAGCGTGTCAGACTGAGTTGTGTTGCTTGTGCCTCCTTGTAGGGCCCAGTTGTTGGAAAACCAATGTCCTTTTTTTTCCTTAAATACTTCAGAGTTATGTCAGCCACATAGTGACTGAGAAATGGAGGGTTCAGAGAAACCACAAGGAGGTGAGAAAAGCAATTTCCAAGATCAGAACACCTGAGGCAGAAACTGTATGTGTAATCTCGCAGCATTGGTGGTTGTTTAGGGTGGGGTTTTTTCCACCCTGAACAATAACATTTCCTCCTGTTAATTTTTTTTGTCAGTTCTGTTAGGGGGGAATTTGCTTTTTAGCATCAGTCTCCTAAACTGAAAGAATGTTGAAGGAAAAATGCCAACATTATAGATATGAGATTTGCTTGGGTTGTGAGACTGATCCTAACTCATGCCCTGCATTTGTGTTTACAGGGATCACAGCCTCCTTTATTGATATAGGAGTGGGGCCACATTCATCTTCTACTGCTATGAAAAGCTGCTTTTAAAAAAGTACTGCTATGTATCACAGTAGATACAGTTTAATGCAGGTTTCTTTTTTGCTCCCAGACAACTGGTCACCCATGGAGCATTAAATCCAGAATTACTGTATGGGAGGGGAACTGAGGAAGGACCACAGTTAAATGTGTTACTGACCTTTTTGTGTCAGAGATGAAAACTTTCCCTATAAGTGACTTCTAAAGCTTCTATTTCCTGGCAAAAGTGTTTCTTTTGAATGGTTTCTGGGTTTGGTTCTGTGGTGTTGTGCTTCTGTTAGAGGTATTTTATTAAACATGAGTGTGACTGTTAATAGTGGGGATAAAAATGGCAGTGTGCATGTGTAGGGAGGGGGAACTGCATTTCCATTTTCTTTCCAAGCTTTTGGTGTTTGTTTCAGAAATAAAGGAAAGGGCAAGGCACCTAAAGTCTATGCTGAGAGGAGTTTAGCTTTGTATTCTGTGAACTTTCAGGCTGCTTCGTTGCCAGTTTCAGCATGCCTTAGGGAGACATTGTAAACTTGTAACCGTTCAGTTATGGAAAAAGTTAAAATAACTGAAAGTATCTTTTGGATATGAATGAATGATAGGAGTGGATATGAGTGAATCCTCTCCAGGAGTTTGTTACTGTCAGATGGGCACACTGCATAACTGTTTCATGCTTTTGGTTTTAATGCTTGTTCAAATTAACTTTAATGCTAATTATCAGAATCTGTAATTATGCAAAAACTACTAATGAAGAGTGCAGTCTTGGTCAGTGTGCAGTATACCTGTGGGATGGTAAGAGATTTTTCTTCTGCTGAGACTGAATGTTTAATGTGAAAAGAATCTGCGTCAGATGCCTAGCAGTACTGCATCTAGGAGGGGACTGATGTACTTTAATATCTTCAGTGTTCTTTGAATGCTGCTGTTGCAGTTTTTCAGTTGTAGACAGGCTGTTTGAAGTAGTTCTCATGAAAGGGAAGAGTCGCATGGAAGAAAAATTGTGGCGAAAATTTTGGAAAGATACATGAGAACATTCAGCTGGCAGTGGATTGTTTGAGCATGGCATAAACATAGAACTAATGTCTGGTAATGAGTGTGTTTCAGAAACATGCTTGTAACATTGAAAGGAAGAAAAGCTAGTTTTTCTGGAATCAACCAACTAAGAATTATATATTTATGAAGACATCACTGTAAAAATCTTTCCTCCATTATTTTAAATTAAATTTTTCTTTAGAACATATCAGACATCTTTTCACTGGAGTGAATTGGTGTGGATCTTGGCAAAGTCGGAGAAAATGAATTTAGTTTCAGTAAAAATGACTTTCATCAGTTACTGGTTGGAGCAAAAGACCCAAAATAAATAAACAAATCAATGCTGGGGCACAGGTTACAGGACACCGAAAGAGAAGCTGTAGATAAGCTATGCTGTGCGCACCTCTTGGCTCTTACGGTGGCCGGAAGGTGGACACGCTAACCTGCGTCCTGTGAAATAGTATGTCTGTTGTCTTCTGCTGTTGGGCTTGGTTCTGTATTCAGTGTACCAGCTAGAAGTACCGGCCTGTGCAATACTATGCTGTGTGATTTATTTTTTTTGGTCAGTTCAGAGCTGGTCAAGTAGTTGCCGTGGTAATTCTCTTCCCTCAGATCTGTGTATGGAGTGAGCTGTTTGAGTTCAAAGTGCATTATATATTCATACAACTTTTTAAGCTAGCTTTCTTTACACTAGAGGGCAGGGGAAAGGTGTAATTGATAAATCTACTTCTTAAGCAGCTTTTATTCCAAATTATTAGCATGGAAGAATACAGAATGAGGACAGTGACTGGGCTTGAGAACTGACCATGTCTGGTGGCTGCCCATGTGGTATCAGAATTGAAGTGTTCTTGACTAGACTCTTCTTGGCCTGAGTGAAGAAGTATTTCTGGGAGCCTGGAGTCTCCTGTCGTCCCACCTGAGGGTTGCCTCTGAATAGCTGCAGAAGTCAGCAGCCGGACAATTGGTTACTGCTGTTTCTTCAAAAGCTCCCCCTTGCCAACTGCATGCTATTGTACCATGGATGCCAAGAGCAGGTTTAGCAACTCTTCATCAGGGGTTCCCTGCCTTCCTTCTCCCCTGCCCTTCCACCCTCAAGCCAGTTGAAGGGTTTTGCCCAGTCCAGGCCAGATCTGAGCCAGCTTCTCATCTTCTCCCATCAGTGGTGACTCCCTCTTGAAGTGTGTGAGTAGAACCCACAGCCTTCAGTTTAGGCAGGAAGAACAGCCAAGGCTGGCATGTTTTACGTTTGCCTGCTGAGGTGAGGAAGCAAGTACTTTCTAGAAAATGTCAAAAAGTTCAATATGAAGGCTGTAACGTTAGCGTGTTCCTTACATCAGCAGTGACAAGAAGGAGGTTTTGAAGGTTGCCCTGCTACTCCTTATCTCAGCGTACTCCATAAAGAAATCCAGTTGAACTCCTCCTCTTGTTTTGTCTCATGTATTACCTAGAAGGGTGAAATAAAATAGGTTCCTCATAGTGGGTAAGTTAAGAGGAGGAAAGAGAACAAACCATCTGGGTTTCTCTTACTCCCCTTATCTGCTTATCTCTACTCTGGTTTTGTTGTTACCATCTAACTAGTTACTCTTTTCTAGCTGTCCATATACATAATATGGTTGTTGCAACTATACTTTCTTTTTTTTTCTTCACCTTTCTGGCTGCTGACAGTAGGGCAGTGCATACGAACTGCGAGGTGGTTGTACCTGCCTGTGCATGCTGCACTCAGTTGTATTCTTCAATTTTTATCTTCCCTCCTGCCTCCTTCTTTCAGAATGTCTCTGTGTCTTCCCATTCCTTGTTCCCTTTGTACATGACATGTAAGACTTGTCATTTATGTACCATTTAAAAAAGAAAATAATTCTAAGGATCTGAATCTTACTGGATTATGAGTGGGTGTTGAGTTTTAAATCATAGAATCACAGAACGGTTTGGGTTGGAAGGGATCTTAAAGATAATCTAGTTCCAACCCCCGTGCCATGGGCAGGGACACCTTCCACTAGACCAGGTTGCTCCAAGCCTCATCCAGCCTGGCCTTGAACACTTCCAGGGATGGGGCATCCACAGCTGCTCTGGGCAACCTGTCCCAGTGCTTCCCTACCCTCTCCGGGAAGAACTTCTTCCTGATATCCAATCTAAACCTCCCCACTTTCAATTTAAACCCGTTACCCCTTGTCCTGTCACTACAGGCCCTTGTAAAAAGTCCCCCCCAGCTTCCTTGTAGCCCCTTCAGGCACTGGAAGGTGCTATAAGGTCTCCCTGGAGCCTTCTCTTCTCCAGGCGGAACAAGCCCAACTCTCTCAGCCTGTCCCCAGGGCAGAGGGGCTCCAGCCCTCGGAGCATCTCCGTGGCCTCCTCTGGACTCACTCCAGCAGTTCAATATTCCTCTTATATTGAGGGCATCTTATAGGCATTTATATATTTTGAACCTTTGGACCACTGAACCTGCACAAGTGGTGGCCTTGCTGCAGGAGTGATAAGGAAAGGCAGGAGGGCAGGAGAGGATGATATGCTGTCATTGTGTACGTTGTCAGTGAAAGACGTTCATGAACTGACCAAAACGATCCCTTTGTATTTCAAGCTGCATTGGAATTGTGGTAGCTGGGGAAAAACATACACTGATAGCTTTATCTTTGACCCTGAGTATGCAAAAATAGTACTGTCTGTTGATTTGGAAGTAGGCAGGGGGGTGTTCATGTCCCTGCGCTGGGAGAGGTTCATGCTGAAGCGTAACTGCGCGTGGTGTGTGCGTGGGTTGGGAACGTTTTTTCTGTTTCTTACTATGTAACTTGTGATACTATTAAAATGTTACGTGTTTTTTTATATACTAACAGTACTAAACTTGCTACTGTTTTAAAAAATAAACCAACAACCACACCAGCCCCTTCCCCCCGCCCCGCAAAAGAAACCCAAAAAAAACCCAAGACCTGAAACAAACACTAAGTCCCTGAATCACTGATAAAAATGGAATTTCTTCAATTAATACTCTTTATTATAATTCCTCTTTGGCCTCTTTTTCTCAATAGTACTGTCAGTGCTTGCAGGGCTGTTTGGGCCTGCAGCTAGCACCTAGCCACCTTTATGAAGGCCCCTAACGCACTGATTATCTAAACGAACATGATGTAAACTGCTCCTGTGACACCAGAGATGCGGTGAGAGGAATCATGCATGTGTTACTGATGATTTGTGATGTGGAGAAAGCCAAATGCTTTCAAGACACGAGTTAATTTTGCGGATGTGGGTGAACTGTACCATGTTATGTGTAGGTTGATCATGTCACAAGGGAAAAGGCAGTGCTGTTTTCCAGATGCTTTCAAAAGAGACTGGGAGGTCTGTGTCAGGAAGAAAGTGTAACACTTTATGGCAAAGGATACTGTGATTTTCCCTGACTCCCTCAATTTTTCTTTCATAGATCGCATCAATGGAGCACATCCAGGGAGCTTGGAAGACTATCAGTAATGGTTTTGGACTGAAGGATTCCGTCTTTGACGGCCCAAACTGTATTTCACCTACTATCGTCCAGCAGTTTGGTTATCAACGCCGGGCATCTGATGATGGCAAAATCTCAGATACTTCCAAAACCAGTAACACTATCCGTGTTTTCTTGCCCAACAAGCAGCGCACAGTGGTAAGTGTAGATGACCTGTATGTAAGAAATGCCGTGCTGTTCCCGTTGCTAACACTATGACGTGTATCTGGCAAGAGAAGCTTCACAAAAGGTCTTATTGTGATTGTGTTGTCATCAATTTGTTAATTCTTAAGAACATACTTTGAAAACAGTGTTATCTGTCTTTTGAGAACCCATATTTCTCTACCTCAGTGCTGTATGTTTCCAAAACACACGAGCAAGATGCTTTGCTTACGTACCAAACATTAAAAGACAGTAGTTGGCTGACCAGAACAATGAGGCCTGTGTGAAATAAAACATGGAGTCATTTCTCTCACAGTTTCCTTCACTGGGATGCCCACAGTGAAGTAGGGTAGTTAAAGCTGAAGTAAAACTTCTTGAGGGACCACTTCTATTAGATTTGAGCATGCTGCTAATGGTCCTACACAAAGTTCCCCGAAATCTAAATCAAGCGTTTTTCTATACTTCGGGTAACTCCATTTGCCTGTATTCCTGTTACTTTACAAGCTACCTGCTGTATAAAATCCTGTTTCACAGAAACACGGTAACTGTAAGAAATTGGAGAGTTACAAAATGGCTTCAAAACTTCAGTTGCATCAGTACAGAATAGTTACATCTGTGGCAGAAACCCTGCCTGACTGACAGGTTGGCTGGGGGAAACTGGAAGGCGCAACAGTCTCTTACGTCAGACAAGTAATATTTATTTACCTATTTATTAACTTCAAAAGTGAACGGCTGTGCAGTTGTAGTGGAATGTCTAAAGAAAAAGAGAAAACATTACTTTGTCCCCCCACCAAAAAAAACCCCAAAAAACCCACCCAAAATACCCCAAACCTGAAACAAATTCTACAATCACTGACTAAACTGTTTTCCCCTTTGGTCCCAGGTAAATGTGCGGAATGGGATGACCTTACATGACTGTCTGAGGAAGGCACTTAAAGTAAGAGGCCTGCAGCCAGAGTGCTGTGCTGTTTTTCGACTTCTTACTGAGCCGAAAGGGTAAGAGTCTGTGATGTTATATGTGAAGCTTTCAACTAGAGAGTGTAAAGATCTTGGGTTCAGAATAGCAGCAAGAATGCTTTCTTCCTGTCTTGCTAGCTTCTTCTAGAAGTGCAGTTCGGTTGTGAACACATCCATGTTGCTTTCTTTACCCTCCTCTAGGTAAACTCCTTCAGCTTCCTGGGTATTAAAACATTTTTTTGTTTTAAAGCTAAATACTAAAAATGCTCGAAATTGAGAGGTACACTCAAGGGTTTGCAGTGTCTTACAGAGCTTTTTGTCATTCTCCAGCTGAAATGATGTGCCTGCCCATGGCAGGGGGGTTGGAACTAGATGATCTTTAAGGTCCCTTCCAACCCTAACCATTCTATGATTCTATGATATTGGAGGTGTGTTTCTCCTGTGCAGTTGTAGTTGGTAAATTTCAGTGCTAGTGATTCTTGGCCAACTTAAATGAACATCTCCTCTGTGTGCTCAGTTTTAAGGCTGTACATTCCTCTACAACTTTTCAATGTTTGGGTTTAAATCTCACTTCAGATATTCCTTATTTTTTGTAGGACCGGGGATGCTGCTATTAAATACCAAATGATTCTTTTACAAGCTGAGGGAGTGAAGGTATCTCATGGAGTTAATACATTTAACTTCACACCTCGTAAGGCTTGGGCTTAATGCCCTGTGGGTTTACATCTCTGTGTAACTGAGTCCATTCTGGGGTCACCAGTGACGTTAGGGCTGAAGCACGTAGTCTAGCTTTCATGTCACCAAGTCTGCCATTCATAATTTCTTATGTTTTGTTTTAAGGGTATTTCTGTGATGCCATTACAGCTTCTAGGTGTCTTATTTCAAATAATCGATATATCTAAATGATTTGCACGCTAAAAAATCGGCAGAAAAATCGTTGTGGTTTCAAAGCACCTTCTAACTTTTTTAAGTGAAAGACACAAATACAGCTCACTATCAGAAATTAGCCACGTTTTTTTGTATTTGTTTTCAGTTTGCTCAAGAAAACTCACAAGACATAGATAGTTGATTAGGCCAGACTTCTTACCTCTGAAGTAATTTTGTTGTCCCCATTTTCTCTTTCAGAAAAAAAGTGCGTTTGGATTGGAATACGGATGCTGCCTCCTTGATTGGAGAGGAACTGCAAGTAGACTTTCTTGATCACGTTCCACTCACTACACACAATTTTGTAAGCTTTTTCTTGTCTGTATTTTGGTGTAAATTGTGTCAATTGAACAACGTATTCCATCAAAGAATGGTTTAGGCATTAGGTACCTTTCAGCTTTCTAAAAAGAGCGGGATTTCACAGATGATGATTTGATGCCTTCACCCCTGCTCCCCACAAATTAGATTGGCTAAATACCAACTTGCAATGAAATGCCAGAATTCTGTTTATGTTTACTGATTCCTGGCTGTCAGACTTTAAAAGCTCACATTATGCATTTTCTTCAAAGATCTGATTTTCATTTTTATTTTATATAAATGACGTAACATGACAGTTACAGATTTATGTATTGTATCATGTCTTTAAAGTCCAGATCTGGGAGGTAACTTGCATTTTCAGTCTGCGGCTCATTGGTCGAGTTGGGCAGCTTTATTGGGCTGTTGGTAACTGTTCTGAACGTAGAGGGCTGCAGTTATTCTGCAAGGTCATGGCTGGTTTTTTTTATAAAGATAATGCCTGACTCTTAGTAGTTTTACCTTGCATTATTTTGTGCTCCATCTGAAGGAACTCTATTCCTGTGTTCTAGCCTTGTTATTGTTTTGTCCCAGACATCTATTGTTCCAAGTGGCAAAACTAAAGGATTATGATTTGCATCCATGAGAAAGCTTGGGATTGTTATACAAAAACTGAAAGTAGCTTTGCTTCTACTTTACGTTTTTGGAAAACTAAAAATAAAATTATCTGCAGTTGGTCAGCAGAAAATATTTCTCTCCAGGCCTGAAGAAGCTCAGGCCGCGAGCCTTCCTCCACAGTATGCTCCGGAGGAAAAAATCCTTTGGTTCACTTCAAGCTTTTTTTGTGTTTCAGAAGCTTTAAAAAAGTTAGATGCCATTTAAAAACTTAGAACTTCCTTAAACTATTTTATTTGCTAAGGAATTGTATCTCTTAAGCAAGGGGTATGGCTTAGTCGTAAACTCACAACAAGCATTTGGACTAATAAAACAAATGTGTGGGTGGTTTTTTGTTTTTTTTTTAATATATAATCACCTAAACAAAGTCCTAAATGTTTGTAAGCTTTCCAGGCTTCCAACCAAACTGGGAAAATATGCAAGGATGCTCAGGTGTGGTTTTTAGTTCGGTAGCACTTTGGAGGCACTGATAACACTTTAGCACTGTGTGTGTTTATGTCAAGCTCTGAAGATCTTAATCTCAGCTAATGAAGAGAATTAGTAGCTTGGATTAATCATTTAATGTGTTTTCTAGGCTCGGAAGACCTTTCTAAAGCTTGCGTTCTGTGACATCTGCCAGAAGTTCCTGCTAAATGGGTTTCGGTGTCAGACGTGCTGTTATAAGTTCCACGAGCACTGCAGCACTAAAGTGCCAACCATGTGTGTCGACTGGAGCAATATCAGGCAACTCTTGTAAGGACTGTTCCCTTTTAATAGCAACCGTAATTCTCTGTGAGAGACAAGCATTGTTTAGTTTAATCTCTTATGACAGAGATGAATGTGGGTTGTTGGGAAGTGGAGTCACTTTCGTCAGTATCTAGAGAATGTGTGTATTGATGTCATAAAACAGCCAGCAATGATTGTCTGTTCCCAGGTGAAGAAGGCCATTTACAGCAAACACATTTTGTTCTTGCTGTAAAATTTAATATTCTGGGACAAGCGAACAAAGGTCTTGAGTGCCCAGGCAGTTGCTATGTCGCCCTCTGTTTCAACATGGGAAGCCATAGTAATTTCTCTCACATAACACTTTTATTAGAAGAAACAGGTCATGATTCAGTTCTTTTGGCTGTTGGAAGCGTGAGCATTCAGACCTACCACAACTTTTGACACTGTTGAAAGTGCATGGAATGCTGAAGAAACTGCTGAAGGATACTGCTTTCCTAATACTGATTAGAAAAAGTTGAAAATCATTGTGTTAGAAGTAGTCCTTTTTATGCCAAAGTTGTTAAAACCTCAGATTGATTTTATGTGTCTTGGTGATTGTGTTTTGTATAACTGAACTTGGTCGTATGGTTATGCCTGTTCTTATGCTGACTAGTCATTAGAGGGTAGGATGACTTGTGCCACTTGGTGCTACCTGCCTTTAACAGAATGCAAAAAATCTGGTCTCAGATACCCTTTGAGGAAAATCTGAAGTCTGATGTAAAAAGATTTCTTAAATTTAGAAACAACACATGGAAATTTTCTTGGGGAGTCTGAAGATGTAGCTTTTAGTCGTACCATACACAGAGGAAAAATACTATGTAAAGTTAGGAATGTGTTCATGAAGTTAATTATGCTGGAAAGGAGCAGCCCTTTAAATTTTCAGCTTTAAAGAGCATTGTACAGGAGGTAGTGTAGCAGTTGAAATTGTAATTGTTTTTGTTGATATTTCAGATTGTTCCTAAATTCAAATATCAGTGACAGTGGTGTCCCTGCACTACCTCCCTTGACAATGAGACGGTTGCGGGAGTCTGTCTCCCGGATACCTGTTAGGTAAGCTAGTATTTCCTGTCATTTCTGTTTTGGGAAATACAGTTGTTAAAAAAATTAAAAAAAAAGAAAAAGAAAAAAAGAAACACCCCCAGCTCCTTAAAAACAGGACAGTTGTGTAGAAGGTTGGGGTAAATGTGCAGGGCAACACCACTTCATCACAGATAATACAGAGCATCCTTTCTTGTTCTTAGGTTCAAGCAAAACAGTGATTTGGGATTTTGTACTTTCAGTTTTTAGCCTTAAGATTTTAAGGGAGGTGGTTAAAGGTTTTCTGGAAACCTTTGTTTTCCTGCCTAAGAAAATTCAAGGCTCCCTTTGGTATTTTTGTGAACTGGTTTTGTTTCACCTGGTCAGGTAGTCTACAAGTAAGGGTTCATGACTCATTTTGCATGACTTGGGTACGTGAGCTAAAATAACGCTGCAGTGTTCCGATGACGGATAAGAGTTTAAAGAGAGAGCAGTGGAAACTGAAAACATGCTGCTCTTAAAGAAAATTCTGAGACCTAAAGGGAATGTTCCTGTAGTTTTATAGGCTAAAAATTGCTTTCCTTTCAAAGGGGCCGGTGTTCTGTTCTCTGACATTCTAGAGGCTGAAGAGGGCAGGCCATCTTTTGTTTTTTCTGCATCCCTTTGAAAAAGTCTTGCCTTATTCAGGAGTGAGGCACAGAGCACATAGCTGATTTGCAAATGGTTCTGTGTATTTACTTATTTATTTTAGTGGGACCTGCATCAGGAATTGGTCTTATATTCTCTTTGCCATCTTGTTCTGTTTCCAGTGTTGATGAACAATGACTCGTTAATGACAGTTTAAGCTTTTTGTGAGGTCTGGCTGATTTCAGTTAAGATACTTAAGTGTGATGTGGGATAAATAGGGTTTGAGTGACCTTAGCTGTGATTTGTAACTCTCCATTGAACTGGTTTTTAGTGTTGGCCTCCTTTTAACTGGTATTGGGTTTCATGACTTCCTTGCTGGCTGTTCTGTCTGAACCATTGAACAGTCTTGCAAACCTTTACAAATTCAGGGCTTAGCAGTAAAACTAGCTCTTAAGCTATGCATTACAGGCTTGAAATGAGCAGTTTGTTTAAATTGCACAGGCCTGAATTAATCCAGCAGAGCTGGTATTTTGTCAGTATATTAAATGTGATTTGATGAGGGTTGAGGTGAATTTCGTAATTGCAGAAACGTAACTTATGTTAAACACTCCAGACAAATAACATCTTGTCAGGTCACATACTTGAAGTTTTAAAATTTGTTTCTTGAGTTAAACTGGGAATGATTCAGCTGACCAGATAGTGTAGTTAGCATGCAAGTCCCAGCTTTCTCTGTTTTGGATTCTGTCTATATTGCTTTTGAACAGGTTACACTGAAGAGTATTTTTCAACTGCTAGAGGAGAAAAAATATCCATAACTTTTCCTTTCTCTTTCTTTCCTTCTCAGTTCCCAGCACAGGTATTCTACACCTCATGCCTTCACATTCAACACATCAAATCCTTCTTCTGAGGGCTCCCTTTCCCAAAGACAGCGATCTACATCCACGCCAAATGTCCATATGGTTAGCACTACGATGCCTGTGGACGGCCGGATAATTGAGGTAATGTTGATAGGAAGGGAAGAGCATAAAGTTAAACTAAAATCGTGACTGGCTATCTAATAGTCACTGGTTGGTTTTTCTTCTTTGCTTTCTGTCATTTGCTTTAATTTGTTTGCCTTAATTGGCTGAGCGATGAAAAATGTGGGCGACATCTACATAGAAAGTTGATGGCTCATTCTTGCAGTCTTTATCAACTTTGAAGTTCTAGGTAGATCCTTGGTGTCTGTAAAGATGTAGGGGCATTAGCAGTCAAGTTTCACAGAACTGAATAGAAAATAAGCTCAGTTTTGCTGAAGAACTACTTTAGGCATGTCTAAGAAGGTTCTTTCAAACTGAGGAATCTGAGTCTGTTGGGGGAGCTGGCGTTTATTCTGAGTCAGACTTCAAGTACTGTCAGTCTGGATGTAACTCTTGGAGTTGGACACTCCAGTCCAAGCTTACTGGCAATATGTTCTGTGTTCCACCTGTACAGAATTAACAGTGATCTGGGCTCATGTGCTAAAGCCATCTGTATCTGAGAATATTTCTTCTGTCCTTAGCTTTCAAGCAGCACCTTTTTTTTTCCCTGCCTTACACTGGCAGTAGTGAGAGACAGTTCTTTCAAGTCAGGGCTACAGTGTTTTGGGTGTTTGGTTTTTTGGGGTTTGTTTTGTGATAACTGTAACAAAATAAGGGGGTGGTGTGCAGGAGAGCTTGCAGATAGAAAACTGAACTGCACGACTTGAGAGAGAGCGCTCTGTTTTTGCTCCGGAATAGTTTTAAAGCTCTTTAGTCCAAGGCAAAGCCTTTGACTGTGGAGTTTACTTGCATCTTCAGCTGGTGGTTTATAGGCTGCTATGAAATCTGAGGACTCGCTGAAATGTGCTAGAGAAGTCCTCTGGACCTTTGGTGGAACTGAGGAAAAGTGCGCTGCAGCCCCATGAAGCTTTTTTGGTTAGAAGCTTTGTGTCAGCTGGGTTTTATGGGGAGAGGTATCCTCTCTTTCTCTTGAGTTTTCTTAAGCTTACAACCTTTTATTTTATGACACAAAAAATAATGAAGCACTCAAGTGAATATGAATTACGAACTCCATAGTGTCATGACCCTTTAAGGGTTCTTTCTTTATCCTTTATTCATAGCAGTAGGGACAAAAATGCTTTCTATCCTGGCTCTTCATAATATCATAGGGACTGAATAAAAATAGTTGTCATGTTTTAAAGGCAATACCTGCTTTTCCAAAAGGCTTTAAAAAAAAAAAAAAGTAAAAGAACCAGCACAAAAAAAAGGCAGGGGAGGCCTAGTATGACAGCAGAAACACCACCGTAATAAAGTGGCTTAACCAAAGGATGGACACTAGTGAACATCTGGGTTTGAACAGGAATGCTTACTTGAAAGTTTTACTGAACTTAGTTGTCATTTATCAAACAAATTAGGTCACTTTTTCTTTCATTTATCCTAACATTTTTTTAAAATATTTTTTTATACTTCCTCTGTTCTTCTCTTTTATCTCTTACTGTGTTGGCCTAGAATAACAGCCTGAATGCTTCTCCCAGTTCCTGGTGCAGACGATTTTGTTTGAGGGGAAGAGTAGGTATTTTCTTGGTGCCTTTTGTTTTCTTGTGATTAACAGGATTGCTATAACTTTTAAGCCATGGCAGTGTTCTCATGTGATGCTGGAGCTGATTTGATGAAAGTCTTCATAGCATGTTTATGCTTAAATACTGAGGATGCTAATTGGAAGAGGTGAAATGATAGAGAGCTTCATTTTTAGTTTAGCTGGATGAATCCATGCTGCTATGACATTTGGTGTGAATTTGAATAGGCTTGGATTAGAGATGCATTTGGTTGCATAGTTCTTAATGTAAAACCCTCTCAACACATCTTTAGTGTGGTGCATTTCCTGTGGAAACAAATTTTTTTAATATAACTGTACAAAATCCTTAGATTAAGAACATGATGTACTATTTTTATTTCACATCAAAGTAAAGACTACAGCACTGTGTATGGTATTATTTGTGTTGTTAGAACAATCCTAAAGACCACTGGTTTTGGTTCATTTGCTGTAGGGATTCAGAAGCAAAAAAGAAAATATTCACATCATGATTTAAAGTCCAAAATACTTACTTAAGAAAAAACAGTTACGTAAGTAAGAGCACAATTTAAAATGATTTAGTTACCCTTTGCCAGCTTACTTGAAACGAGTTACATTCTCAGGCTGATGTACAAAAGAACATCACTTGTTATTAATTCAGGTTCCTAAAGATTTGTGTTGTCCTCAAAATGGACAAAAGTAACTTGCAAGAGGTCTTCGTTGGTAGTTAGACAGATTTTAATCCACTCAGGCATAGAGTAGTGGTACTTGGCAGGAATACGGAGTCAAGCCTGGGAGAATGCAACTAGCTGTCTAAAATGGTGTATTGCATAAATGAATCTTTACTGAGAATAATCTGAGTTAATTTGAAAACTGTATGGTGGAATGTGGGTGTGTTCTGTCCTCCTATGAAATCTTACGTTTATTATTCTACTAATTAGTTACACAGTTTGACTTTACTTCTATTAACTTTGGCAGTATTTAACATTTCTGTAGTGCATGTTCTTGCTTTGTACTTATACAGTACCTGGATATTTTACCTTTCCTGTATGTTCTGTGGGATAATACGTAGCAGGTGAGAAAAGTTGTGAAGTCATGTTTGTCAGAGCTTAGTTTATCTTGTGCATGGCTGTAGAACTGTGTTGTAAAGTGCCTGTGGCATGAGGTGAGAGTTGTTGCACTGTACCAAGTAGTGAACTGTGTAAGAACATGCTTTTCAGATATCATCAAACATTAATCTGTGGAAAAATGTCTTGAAAATTAGTTAGTGGGTGGTTTTTTTTTTCATGAGGGCACAAGACATAGCCTTTTTTGGGTTGAAATAGTATGGTATTTCAAAATGTGTGTTGACATGGAATATTTTAGGGTCTTTCAAAAGTTTTCCTGCCTGTAACCCAAAACCTTTTTGAGAACACGTCCCCTGGAGATACTGGAGCTGTGTTCAGATCTGAAATACAAGCATGTACAAAACTCCAGCAGCGGGAATGCAGACAGTATTTCTGGTGTTTCTTCTTGGTCGCTGTCTTTCCCACCCCCACCCCCCCTTCTCTTTTTTTGGTAGTAATACCTTGTAATACGCTATGAATATTTTTCATGTTTTGTCAGAATTCACAAGTTGCATGGTTTTTAGCATACAGGATTCTTGTGACTAGAAAATAACCAGGCTGTCATCTTCTGGAGGGTGTTGGTCAGTACCGTATCACACTTGACCAAAGATGTTCCTGCTTGTTTCTTTATATGTTCTTGTATATTTATTAACTTTATTGTCCATCTCCTCTGTTTTAGGATGCAATTCGAAGCCATAGTGAATCAGGTATGGTTTCCAAAAATAAAATAGTATTATATCTTATTTTGTGAATGTTTTCTGGTTCATAATTTCCTTGTTTATTTTTACATTTAAGCTTCACCTTCTGCTCTGTCTGGAAGTCCTAACAATATGAGCCCCACTGGCTGGTCCCAGCCCAAAACCCCAGTCCCAGCCCAAAGAGAAAGAGCCCCTGGATCCAACACACAAGAAAAAAACAAAATTGTAAGTACTGGATTTATTTCTCTTTTTTTTTTTTTAATATATTATAGAGTCATTGAATGGTTTGGGTTGGAAGGAACCTTAAAGATCATCTAGTTCCAACCCCCCTGCCCTGGGAATATTAAACTAGGCTGGGAGTGGTGTTTTTTTGGGATACGTTTCTGAACTTTGCTGTACATGCTGGTGGTAATCTTGGATTACTCTGCACCCTGTGTACACCATAGGGATATAATTTTTTCTAACTTGGGAAAGGTAGCAGTATTGTATTACATTATAAATACTCAGACCAAAGTGTTTTGGATTAAAAATTAATTTTGGACAGTATTGTGAAATTATTTTTTAGTACAGATTCGAGGATTACCTTTTTAAAGCTCCAGGGCTGCATCTTTTTTACTTTTTTGTGATATCTTCGAAGTTAGCCTTGTTACCGCTCTTTGAACTGTATTGCCAAAGCTTCCACAGACGATGGGTATTGATAATGCCATCATTTTCATAGTGAAGTTAGTCAGAATGTCTCAGGGAAAAGGAGATTTAACAAAATGAGAGTTTTCCCTCAGTGGTTTGATGTAAACTTGGGGGGAGGGGGAAGAAAAGTTAGAATAATAATGAATAATATCTTGAATCTTTTGAAGGCTTATAGGATTTAAAGCTTAGTAGGACTCAGTTGTCAATCACCTAGACATTTGGGGATTCTGCTCTCATCTTTTTGGTTTATTCCTTTTAAATATGTAAATGAGTTCTTGAAGTTTAGTACTGTAATTTTGAAAAAGTCACTAAGCTTCTTAAGTATTTCAGATCTCTTTAAATAGTTGATTATAAAATATTCTTCCTTTTAAGATCCAAGACCAGGGTTTAAGTTTCTAGTGCAGGTCTTAATGATAGCTGCTTAAGCAGTTAAAGCCATCCAAGAAAAGGTTTTGGGTTGTTTTTGTAAAAAAAACCCGAAAAAACCACCACCCCCTCATAAATTGAGAAGAAAAATGAAAGTCCAAACTGCAGAACAAAACCCTCGAAGTTTCAGTGCATCTTAAATGTGTGTGAAGGCAGGCAGTTCATGCTTGGTGTGTAAATGTAAAGTAAAGCCATGTCAATTTTTCTTCCAGAGGCCTCGTGGACAGAGAGATTCCAGTTATTACTGGGAAATAGAAGCAAGTGAAGTCATGCTTTCTACCAGAATAGGGTCAGGTTCTTTTGGGACAGTTTACAAAGGCAAATGGCATGGTAAGTTCTTGACAAGTGTTACTGTCTTCTCAAAATGTTGATCCTGTGGGACAGCAAGCCAGGAAAAGGTAAAATTGTTTTAATGGTGCTGTGTGCTTGTCTGCCACCAAAGGTACTAGGTGAGAAATGATAATTTCCTAATATTAGCAGTGTGGAAATTAAGGCAAAGAACAAACAGCCGAATGTGAATCTCCTAACTGCCATCTGCACGTTCGTTACATTGGAGCCAGCGTTGCCTTCCGTGTTACCGTGCTCTCCAACACACCTTCTTTTCTGAAAAGATTTCACTCTGGTAGCGGGATTGAACTGGCAGAATTAGCTGGCAAATGTCACAGCCTGATGTTAAATGGTGTGTACCTTTTTTTCATACTTACATTCAAGGTGGTAAGGAAAGGAACTAAGCATAAATTGCTTCTGCTGTGGAGTTTTTCTAAGGAAGAAATGGTTGATGTGAGAGTTATATCCTAAAGTTAACTGGAATACATTGAAAAGAGGCACGTTGCAGAACTACAGAATTAGTTTCCAAATTCAGGGCTTGTGATTTAAAAAGAAACACATGCAAACCCCCTCCAGGCCCTAATTTAAATAGCATCATTGTCATACAGTAAGCTGACTAAAAAAAAAAAACCTGGAAACTTACCTTCCGTCCTCCGTTTTTAAAGAATCAATACTTGGATGTCTTAAAGCCCCAGTGTTGCCAACATCAATGGAGGGACTATTCTTACGTAGTGAAAAGTAATACTCGTGAACAGTTAAACCATTTCCGTTATGGAAGTGCAATGGAGCGCACAAATCCGGACGAAAAATAGGTTAAATAAGATTTCCCTGAATAAGGTAATAAATGTGAATGTCTTGTTAATGTACTTGGATTTCATGTTAATAAACAGTCTTTGTGTATCAAGAACCTTGGTTCTTCATATGTTGAACCGGAAATACATGGAGCTAAATCATTACCAGGAGCCTTCAGTTGTGTGCCTGAGCTGGCCCTATAGCTGTCACCTAAGTCGAGAGCCGTAGGATTCAAAGTCCTGTCTGGGGTAACTGCTTAGAGTTCTGCTGGTTTCTCGGAGAAGTCCAAGTTAAATTCCTGCAGTTCGTTTTCGTTTGGTCTGTAACCATCATTTGCGGCGTGGCCTTAAAGGATTTAAAGGGTTTATATTTCTTGCAAGTCTTTTGTGCTTAGAAATGAAGAAACTGGGAGTTCACGAGTGCATGAATTAGTGAAACCGCAGGATTTTTTGTCGTAACCTGTTTTAATGGTACAAGCGCAGCAATAAAAATGCCTTGGTGAAGCTCAGTGAATTTAATTGATGTGGGCAGATTGCTGCAGACCTCAGTGAAAAGGCTACATTGTGAGAGGTTTCCTAACATGCCCTAACTGTGAAGGGCTGTTTGCCGTGACCCATTGGAGAGCACCGGGGGAAGACTGCGTACAGCTGTATGCAAACCGTAGTAGGTTTCCTGTAAGCTTCCCTGGTTTGGTCTTCCCAAACGAAAATGGAAGTGTCAGGGACAGTCTTGCTCTGTGGAGTGCGTGTCTTGTTGAACAGGTATCTTGAGCTTCCATATTTTTCCAGCTTGTTCTGATGGTTAAGTACTAATTTTCTTATTTGCACCACTTCTGTTACAGACCCCCTTTGGATCCTGTAGTGTCCTGTAGCATGCTTCTAAATTTAAAAGGCGGAAAGAGAACCAAGGCAGTTTAATTGGGTTGGAAGACTACCCATCATAAACACTCACATTTCCCCTTTGACCCTGGTAATCAGTTCTAGGGTTTTGGTGGTTGGGGGGTGGTGGAAGCTGACGTGCCTTCAGATTGCTGCTGAACAAAACAAGTGCTGTTGTGTATTTGCTTCTGTAGAGAGAACGGCTCGGGAAATGCCATCAAGCCTAAATAAAATGTGGCACCTGGTTCAGTAAGAACAGTGTAAGGTTAAAAATAGCTTTTCATCCTTGGAGGATGGATCATAATGGAGAATATATTGGAAAATAATCTGAAAGCATTTGGCCTGTAATCAGTGGATGCTGCATGCTTGCCTTGCCTTGGCACAGCTCGTGGCAGTATACTGGTAGACCATCTGTCTGTCTCGCATTGTACATCCGCAGAGTCACAGTAGGGACAGGCTACAAAGCCTGTGATTTTAGTAGTCCTATGAATGTCTAGTCTTTCTACCAGTTATCTTCTGTTCTGGTGCGTGAGCAGGGAGATCTGTAAGTTATGGAACGTTATGCATCCTACAGCAGTGAGATGGTTCTCTTCATGGAGATGCTAGAGAACGAAGTAGGAAGTATATTGCCTTTACTGAAGTTACAGGGGGAAGACCTAAATCTATAGTAATGTGTTCAATGTTTGTGCATCTTTGTGACTTCAGATTATACAGCAAATTAAGTAACTGTTAACTGCAGTGGAAGGTAGTGCAGTTCACTCTGGGTACTTTGAAACTTTGACGTACCAGTTTGCATATCCTTCTCGAACTTTGTGGCAACATTGTGTTTTTTAACTGAGTGGTTAGTATTCCTAATGTATGCAGCTGATCATTATGTTCTAGAGACATGCTAATGTATTTTTCAAATACATCTTGGGAAAGAGACCATATCAAGAAGAAAATAATTAGTGATTGTGGTAGCAGAGAAGTCTGTCACTCGGCATTTTTTTAATGTAGGTGGATTGTGTAATGCTAAGTGGCAGCAGCTTTTGAACTATGGGAGAAGCCTATACTGGAGTATAGCATCAAATCTTTTTACTGCATGTGGACTAAGACTGTAGTTTCAGATTTCCTAAGCTGCTTTTGCCTTCCTGTGACAGTGTCATGGCAAGTTCACCCCCTCTTGAGTTCTAAAATGCTGTCCATTCGTAGTTAAAATGAATGTGATATTTACTGCTTTCACTGAGGAATCTGTGGGTCTTGCTGTTAGTGCTTCTACTTTTTGTTGGAACAGTCTGTTTCATTCCACTATTACATCTGGGTTTGGTCAGTTCAATTCTACTGTTCTCTGGATGTACGCTGTACAGGTTTTTACAACTTTCTTTCTCTGGAAAGAGTCTCTAAGCAGATAGCACTGGGCCATCAAATATTCCTGTCTGCATCACCCTTCAGCAGATACTGAAATTCAAAGCAAGCACTGACACTGAAAGCAGTGCCAATGAAACTTTGAAGTAAAACTTTATAATCTGTCAGTTTAAAGAACAGTAAGATATTCTGCTTTCCAGAGACCCCAAATTTGCTATTGAAATATTAAAATCAGTTACATAATTAATAATTTTTCTGCTGTTCCTGGATAGGAGATTTATGCCTCCCATTCCTGAAACTTAGCGGTACTTAAATCTAAAAAGCTTGTTTTTAAAATAAAGTTTACCTTATAAAAGGATGTGTGTATATACATATATAATTTATGTCTCTCTCTCTCTAAAACTTAGACTTAATTATACAAAAATGCAAAGGGGTGTGTGTATATACATGTGTGTTTAAGCTGGGTAGAAAAGGGAAAGTGATGAAACTTGGGGTACTGTTTGGAAGCCGAGAGGCTGTTGTGGCTGTGCTGGCATGCAGCTACACTAGAATGCCTTCACTTTCAACCACTATTTCAGATTTTAGTAGCTTTGTGTCCTGCAAAAAGCGTATGTAATTCTGGTCAGACATAGCTGTTAAAAAATAGAAGATAAGCATGTAAACAATTAATGACTTTTTTTCATTAGACTAAAATTCAGGTAAAGGAATTGCTCTAGACTACAGAAGTTTGTATGTCTGCAGGAAAATCTTGACCTGTGGACAAATTAGTAGAGGTGTACTGTGCACAAATTAGGGTTTCTAAGTGTACTGTATATTAAAGTTATTTTGAGGGGAGGGGTGTGGGGAAAGTTGCATTTTTGGTTACTTACACGGTAAATATATTTTCAGGGGATGTAGCAGTGAAGATACTAAAGGTTGTAGATCCAACCCCAGAACAGTTCCAGGCTTTCAGAAATGAAGTGGCTGTATTAAGGTGAGTTGGTAATTTTGTTGCTAAATTCTGTTACACCAAGGCACTGTATCTCACTGCTACCCCTCCTTTCAGCCGTCTTGCCCAATACTCTCTGTGTGATAGACACGCCAAGCCGGTCTCCAGAGAAAAAGAGTAACTAGAGAGCATGTGGGGATGCTTCTGAACACTGCTGTGCAGCTGTGAGAAACAATCATAATTTGGAGTATTTCAGTAGTTTTTCACTATTTCTGAAAAGTCGTCTTTTCAGATAAATAATGCTAACATCCATAATTGTTCAGGTCATGCTTGGCATGCAGTAAGAGGTGAGGATTAATAAATTCTGCCATAATTCTCATCACTGGACAGAATACTTTAACTGTAACTCGTAAAATTACAGCTTAATTCCTTTTTTTTTTAATGCATGCTTTGATCTGCACAGCTGTTTTCTGCTTTCAGTACTGTTTTTGTAGTGTCCAGTTAACTCTCTGTAATGTCAGTCCTGAAACAGACCTGTTGGAGTACGTAACTATCTTCTCGTCTGTTAATTACTTCACAGCTTATAATGACCCTTTAGTTTCCTGTTGGGATTCAGTCTTCTGTCTGAAGTTGCCACTTTTTCCACAGCTTTCAGGGCGATTTCTGTTAATCCAATAACTTTTTCTAATACTACTTGCAAGTGTGAATGCTGGTTACTATTTTCAAAACTCTTGAATTTTCATGACACCTTTTCTTCAGGGATGATTTAAATTAAATTCTTGGAACTAAATGGAAGTATTTTGACTAAAAAGCATAGAATCAGCTGATTTTATTTAAAAATTTGAAATGGGCAACTGTGCCATATTTTATTTTTGAAACCAAACTTTTCACACACATCCGCTTTGCAAAAAATTTTGCAGGAAACTCCTGGTTTTGGGCTCAAAAGCTGAAGCTTTGGACAAGAATGTGTTTTTAAAAGAACTTGAAACCATTTTTCATAAAGATACTAATTCTTCTCTCTGCTACTTTCTATTAGGAAGACCCGGCATGTTAACATTTTGCTCTTCATGGGCTACATGACTAAGGATAACCTGGCCATTGTCACACAGTGGTGTGAAGGAAGCAGCCTGTATAAACACCTGCATGTTCAAGAGACCAAGTTCCAAATGTTCCAGCTCATTGACATTGCTCGGCAGACTGCCCAGGGAATGGAGTGAGTAGGATAAACAAGGCTGGCTGGGTTTGTTCTTGGAATGGTGTTCCCGTTCTCTACCCCAAACCCTAATGTGTGGGGTTACTGCGCTGAAACAGCAGCGTTGAATGGTATGCCAAATAGCGTGTGCCTTAATTCAGTGCTGTTGTATGCATTCCTACTTTCATTTAGCATTTTTTTTCCCCATGGGTTCTTGCCTTCCTGCATGTTAGAGCACTAGTCGCTTCACAGTCGGCTCTTTGGTGTTCTACCTTCTTTTGTAACTTGCTCCTGGAAATTCTGTGACATGAGGGGGTGGCTGTTCCTGTTCTATAGCCAAAGGACTCACACATTTTGGAAGCGTTCTCCAGATGTCCGAGTTGATAGAGTAACCACCTCGCTGCTTCTTCACAACATGTTGTAATCTTTAAAGCCTAGAAGATGCTGACACTGGCTGATGCTGTCAGTGCTCATCTGTTTTGTAGACCAGGACCCAGGCTTCCAGTCAGAGGCCCGGAAAACTAGGAACACGTATTGTGACTGCAGAGTAAAGCAGTTTGTAACAAGTGAACCTTAGCACAGCATACAGATTTCATGCACGTGAAGAAAGCGTCCATCTGTCCAGGGCATTATACAGTTACCCATTGCTGATGCCACTCTTCCTGAGATTCACTCACTTCTGTAATGCATGAGGCAGTTGGCATCAGCTGCTGCTTCCTAGGCTTCTCTTTTCCCCAGGCAGACGCATCCTGTGAGTGACTAAAGCAAGAGGTCTGTGCAGTGGTTGAGTATGTAAGAAACTGGGGCAGTCTGTCAGTAAATTGAAAGGCCTAAGTTTATGTGAACAGCCTTCGTAATGGCATTTTCTGCTTTTTCTTTCCCAGCTATTTGCATGCAAAGAATATCATCCACAGAGACATGAAATCCAATAGTATCCTTTTCTAATCAGTCACGTTTCCTGTAATGCGGGGGGTTTGCTGTTATTACAGAGCTTTTTGGGGGGTTGCAACACCTGTTTCAAATGTATACAGCAATGAGTGCTTCCTCGTGGTGAGCAGGAACTTACCTTTTAGCAAGGACTTGCGTAGAGCCCCTGTGCTTGCTCACCAAACTGCTGTGATGGAGAGCGATGTGCAGCAGTTGTGCTCCAAAAGTGGTGTTTTCCTTAGGTGGTATTTATGCAATTCTCTGTTACCCACGTGCGGCATCGGAGAGAAGCTGCACCCCTCACTTGACGGGAGATACGGGGTGTGTGTGCTGATCTGTGTGTGCACGTGTGGCCTTTGTTCTGCTTCCCTTGGATTTTTAATAAACCTCAAACACCTCCACACGACTGGGAGAAACGAAGCCAAAACTCTTACTTTAAACTCAAGAAAAGGCAAACTTTTACCCCTATTTCTTGCAAAAATATAAATTTAGTAATGCATATGGAGTGAAAATGTTGTGAACTGATGTCTTTGGCCTCTGAAAGTGCCTCCATTTGAAACTGTCAAGAGCAGCGTCCACTGAGCTTGCAGCATCAATGGTAACTTCCTTTCATAAAATGTGAGCAGGATGTTTTGCAGGTGTCATCATAAAAAAACCAGGCCACATTCAGTAGTTCTGTAATGCAAGGGGATTCCCATTTTCAGTTCAGCTGGAGAAGTAATCATTTTAGTGTAGAGGAGGTCAGGAGTTTGTGATTCCTGATAACGATAACCATTTTTTGTGACATGAATGAGCTCCTCTGACCTGGAGTTCACCTAGCGAACTTGGAGTCTGTCATGTTTCTGAATCCTCTTTCTGAGCTTAAAGTATTTTGAAGTGAAATTGTAAAACGAGACCTTCCTAAAATAACCCCAACACAGAAGGTGCTAGTTATCAATCCTAACAGTATTCAGTAGTATTTCCAGTTAACATAGTGAAATTGTACTTAAAGCTGAGGAGAATTGCCAGAGAGCTTCATGCAAATAACTTTTATTTGGGGATTTGTTTCTACTTTTAATGTTTTTTACTTAGTTTTCTTTTTTGAGTTGTGATGACTTCCATGTTGTTTTCCAGTATGTCTTTTGACACCAGTTATTTAAGTACCTGCAGTCACTTGATGTTGATCAACACAGTTGATTTCTGTCCTCACGTCCACGTAATGCAGAAGCATCTCGTCTTGTTTTGTCTTCAATGTGAAATCTGTAAATATGGATGCCATAAAATTACTTTTCCTCTATTTAAGATACAACTCGTAGAAGGTTTAAAAAAAAAAAAAGGGCAAGCTTCTTGGGTAGTTGGCTTGCATTTGCTGTCATGTAACAAAACACTTTGAATTTTCTGACGTGATTACAGAGTTGATTGCTCAAGTTTTCTACAGTCTTTCTTTAACAAATGTGTAGATATATTTCTTCATGAAGGCCTCACTGTGAAAATAGGAGACTTTGGTCTGGCAACTGTAAAATCCAGGTGGAGTGGATCTCAGCAGGTGGAACAGCCCACTGGTTCAATCTTGTGGATGGTGAGCAAACATTTTGCTGCTTTTCAGTAGCTTGCCTTCTTTCTGTTAACTCCCGTTGTGTCAGTGGAGCACTGTCCGAAAGCTTTTGGAGCAAGTGAATCGGCACACGCCGTTAGGACAATCACACGCTCTTCAAGGCCAGGTTGGATGAGGCTTGGAGCAACCTGGTCTAGTGGAAGGTGTCCCTGCCCATGGCAGGGGGGTTGGGACGGGATGGACTGTAAGGTCCCTTCCAACCCAAACCATTCTTTGTTTCTGTGACATGTAGACTTTTATTCCAGTCGTAGGACAAGGTAGAATTGAAGAATGAAGTGCTGGAGTGTTTTACCATTCACCTAAGGATTCTCCTTTTGATTTTTGGTGTTACTGTAAGTATGTAGGGCACAGGCAGGGCTGTCAGGGGAATTGCAAGGAGCTGTTCCCAGGGAGGGAGGAGAGCCTTTCTCCTGCTGTCATCCTGCCTTTTCCCAGATGGCATTGTTCCACTAGAGAGCAGGCTTTTGTCTGCTTTGTGGGATGGGTGAGAGCCTGGCTTTCTCTGTTCCTCACTGCAGCCCCTTCTTGCCCTGCTGGGGACCTGGCACGCCCCTTCGCATGCATACTCGTGTGTTCCGCAGCGTGGGCAGGGGATGGGACAAAGACTGGGACTGCAGCTTGAGGCACGGGAAGGAGTGGGGTTCTGTGGCGACACGCTGGGGACCTCCCGAGAAGGTGCTGTTGGGCCCGTGCTCCTTCCCCTGCACCAGGCAGTCGCAGGAGGTCCTGCGGCAGCTGGGGACCGTGGCATGAGTGCCGGTTTAGGTCCTGAAGTTCTCAGGTTTACTGGAAAGGTTATGGAGCTTCTTCTGGGAGTGGTACTGCAAAGTCCTTGTCTGAGAGGATGTCCCCAACGACTGCCTTTTTGTTTAGCCTCTGCCAGAACTTAAAAAGCAGCTCCACAGTTTTCCTTCCAAAAATCACCTGGAGAATATTTAGGAACTTTTGAAGTAAGTTCACTTCAATAAAGTAAACAGAAAAAGTGGAACAGTGCCTTGTTATTAAAAAGCACAATTAAAATTAATGCTGCCTCTTATTTAGCACTTAAAGTATTTTGTTGAAGTATCACATGACCCATTTGTGTTAATACTATGCAGTTTCCTTAAATTCAGCACGTGGGCTGATGAGCAATATTTCCTAGCTCCCAGGAAAGGGCGCGCAGCAACATTTGCGGCACGTACCGCAGGGAAGCGTAACCAAATAAAAACGGATTGCTGAATGCCACGTATTAGTGCATTTTAAATCTTTGGATGTTTAGCACTGAATGAGCTGGAGGTGTTACTTGAAACAGGTCTTCCTTTTAAACCATGATTACTGGGCTTGCACCCTTCGTTGTCACTGGTATTCTGGGAAGTCAGGGAGTGTTTGTTAAGACTGGCAGCCCAGAAAGCCGACCGT